GTGGCTTCTTCAAAAGTGTACCATCTGACCCACAGGTTGAGAACCATTGTATCAGATGGTACACATGATGACACTATATAAATAAACAACAAAAATAATTTCTTGCACTGTTTATTTTACGCAGATATTGAACATCTCATTTTAAATCTTGAACTGTTTTAAATTGGGAGGGATAGCCAATACTCCAGAAGACATGAGCCGAATTCAAAACAAGCTTTACAAATTAGAGAAACGGGTCCAAATTAACAAAATAAAGTTCAACAGGGACAAATGAAAGATACTTCACTTAGGCAGAAAAAAATGAAATGCAAAGATACAGAATGGGGGACAACTGGCTTGACAGCAATACGTGTGAAAAAGATCTTGGAAGTCCTCATGGACAACAAGCTAAACGTGAGCCAACTATGTCATGCGGTAGCTAAAAAAGCCAATGGGATTTTGGCCTGCATCAATAGGAGTATAGGGTCTAGATCCAGGGAAGTCATACTACCCCTCTGCTCTGCCTTGGTCAGACCACACCTGGAATACTATGTCCAATTCTGGGCACCGCAACTGAAGCAAGATGTTGACAAGCTGGAATGTGTCTAGAGGAGGGTGATTCAAATGATCAAGGGTCTGGAGAAAAAGCCCTATGAGGAGCAGCTTAAAGAGCTGGGCATGTTTAGCCTGCAGATGAGAAGGCTGAGAAGAGCATGATGGGCATGTATAAGTATGTGAGGGGAAGTCATAGGGAGGAAGTAGCAAGCTTGTTTTCTGCTGCTCTGAAGACTAGGGTGGAACAATGGATTGCACCTGAACATTAGGAAGAACTCCTAACTGTGAGAGCTGTTCAGCAGTGGACCTTGGACTATGGATTTTGGAATCTGATTTTAACAGGCGTGTTTTTAATCAATTGTTTAATTACTGTTTTTAATATTTTAATATTTTAATCTACTGCTGATTGTTGATTGTTTTTATGATGCCGGCATCCTATGATGTTTTTGTGAGGCTGCTCTGAGTCCCCCCTCAGGGGTGAGAAGGGCGAGGTAAAAATATAGGAAATAAATAAATATATATATAAACTCTCTGCCCCGGAGTGTGGTGGAGGCTCCCTCTTTGGAGGCTTTGAAACAGAGGCTGGATGGCCATCTGTCAGGGGTGCTTTGAATACTTTTTGGCAGAGGGTTGGACTGGATGGCCCATGAGGTCTCATCCAGCTCTGTGATTCTATGGTTTATAGGTATTTGTTTTATGTGATTTTAAACTGAGTTGTTTTAATAATAGTAACATTTAATTCTGTTTTAATAGTTATATTTTGTAGGCTTTTAAACTGTATAGTTTTTAAAGGCTGTCACCCACTTCGGGTCCTGAGATTAAAGTGGTGTAATAGTACTTCCTTGACATATCAGCTAAGTTTTTGGATACACAATTTGGACCATTTTCCAGCCTAGTTTCTGGAATCTCTGAGAGGTTCTTACTTGTGACTCAACCTACTAGATATGTGCAAGGAAAAATAACTTGAACAAGGGCCTTCTTGTTCTTACACTTCTAAAGTTTGTTTAAAAAACTTAAAATAATTCTATGCATTCTGCCCAATATATTGCAGAACCACCCATCTCTAGAGGTGTGTCAGTAATTATCCAATAGATCTATTATTTTTTTTGGTTAGGATAAGTTACATTTATTCATCCATGCCTTGGGTTCCTTTAATATTGATACAGGTTTCAGTATTTATAAGGAAGGCTGAGCAAAGGAAAATAAATGCTTTTGAACTGTGGTGTTGGAGGAAAATTCTGAGAGTGCCTTGAACTGCAAGAAGATCAAACTAGTCCATACTCCAGGAAATAATGCTCGACTGCTAACTGGAGGGAAGGATATTAAAGGCAAAGATTAAATACTTTGGCCACACAATGAGAAGACAGGAAAGCTTAGAGAAGATAATGATGATGGGGAAAATGAAAGGAAAAAGGAAGAGGGGCTGACCAAGGACAAGATGGATGGATGGTATCCTTGAACTGACTGGATTGACCTTGAAGAAACTGGGGGTGACCACAGCCAACAGGGAGCTCTTGTGTGGGCTGGTCACAAAACTGAACGAATAAACAACAAAAAGTATTTATAATCTGGTTGGATTTTCTGGATTTCTAGACCTTTTATTTGCTAGTTTTATTCTTATTTGTAAGCCTGCTGTGACATGTTTACGAAGAGCAGTCTATAAACTTGAATCATCACCATCATCTTCTTTATTCCAAAAGATTGAACAGGAAGAACCCTTGGGAGGTTTTATTTTTCTTTTTACCCCCAATGGGTTGGCCTACTAAAGTGTACTCATTTTAATTCTCTTGGTAGCACTGCCACTATTTTCACCTTTAACGTTTCTAGAAATGTTATATAAATCTTTTAACAGTCTGAAAATATGACACTACTGCCATTTGGTAGTGACAGTAACAAAACCCACTCTCCTTTTATGTGAGCCACAGCTTTATAGTGTTGCCTCCAGACACAGTGGGAAAAGCAGAGCATACAGCTAGTCCTAGGAAGAGAAGACTCTCTTAAAAACCAACCTTTCTGGAGAACCCTGTACAAAGTTGTGAAGTAAGGAGACAGGAAGCAACAGCTAGTGAGGTGCTAAATGGAGGTTTTCATCTAGAATAGGGATGAAAAATACTGTACTTTCAGTTTATGGGATCAATTTTCTGTGCCTTGGTTCTTCCACAAGCCATAGATCGTCAAAAATGGAGCCTTAGAAGTGGCCACAGCTGTTGCTGAACAATACAGGAGAACTCTGATTCCTATTTAAAATGTGAGAGACAATGCATCTTTTCTGCCCAGAAAAAAACAGTCTAGCAAAATTTAGTGGGCTTAGGATCCATAAAAACCTTTGCAGGCTACAAGTAATCACAAGGTTTCAGAGTAAAGGTAAAGGTTTCCTCTTGACATTAAGTCTAGTAATGTCCCACTCTGGGGGTAGTGCTCATCTCCATTTCTAAGCCAAAGAGCAGGCATTATCCGTAGAAGCCTCCTAGGTCATGTGACCGGCATGACTGCATGCAGTGCCATTACCTTTCTGCTAAAGTGGTACCTATTATCTACTCAAATGCATGTTTTTGAACTGCTAGATTGGCGGAAGCTGGGACTAACAACGGGAGTTCACCCTGTCCCACGTATTTGAACAGCTGACATTCTGGTCAGCAAGTTCTGCAGCTTAGCAGTTTAACCTGCTGTGCCACCACTTTCAGGGTGCCCAATCCAAACTAGTAGCTCAATGGCTATTACCTAAAAAGGTAGTACCCTTGATCAATCGCCTCAAAAATCAGAACTCATGACAATAATGTGGAGTCTCACAATATGGAGCTCCTGGTCCAGAATAGGATTTGACATCTTCAAGGCAGTAACATGTTGTTTCAGAGCAACGTCTCCTGTGCAACTATTGGAATAGCCCATTTCCCTGCCCTCTCATTCTGCAATGTTTTGGAGCACAATGGGCTGCTGCTTTCTATAGCACATATTGGAGAAATACAGACAATGAACCTCAGGTGCTTGCTCAAGAGCCGTTATTCCACATCCACTATAGAAAATTTCAAATCAGCCAGGTCTTTGGGCACCGTTTCATTTTCACCTCTGTAACACAATGGACAGGCGAAACGGTTTTACAATTTCATTCAGTTCATTTGGGGGAAGAAGAAAAAAGCACACACACACACATACACAGCTTTGAGCTGCTTAAGAATTCAGCTTCATTCCAGAATACATTACTGAAAAGAGTAAAACTTGGGGGTATTTTCTTTCTAGTTAAGTGGGTTTCTTTAAAAACAACACACACACATACCTGGTTTGATTCCAGCTGCACAGAAACTGTTGCACAAAAGCAACTCTCTAAAGGATTTAGAGTTAAAAATAGAAATAAGCAACCCATAATAGAAAAGACATTTTCAGAGGCTTATGGCATTGTCTGGATTGCCCAGCAAGTGCCTCAGGTAGACAGTGAAATAGCCACACATGATTTTAATACACTCAGAGGGTGAGGTGGAAAAGAGATGTTTCCAGCTAAAAGTTAAGATGAGGGAGAACTGATGAAGTAAAGAATAGATGTCTGCTTGTATCACCTTAAATGTGACACTTAATGTGTTCTGAAATCTTGCTTCAAGACCATGAACAAAGGCAAATGGTACGCATTAAATGTGCCGAGTTGCAGGGAGGCGTCCAAGGGCGGACCACAGTGATCTGCTTGTATCCCTGTCTGGTTTAATGTACAAATTAGGTATCACATCAATGGCATTTACAGAATACACCAAAGTGAGAGGAGCTGTGAAGGCAAGAAGGGGTCGAGTAGCCACATAAAACGATACCAGGGGGGTTCAGAAGAAAAAGAGAGGCGGGAGAAATCAGTCAGATCATATTAGAAAATGCTGCCCCAGTGGTGCACGCTAGAAAGGAGACACTTCGGAAGTCAACTCTTCAGAAAAGTCCATCCTTCCTGCAGAGTAACCCATCTTTGTTGATAGAAGATAAAACAATGAAGTTCTGGTTAAAATTATGTGCCTTCTTCCAGGCAGGATATCTTTATATGTCATCATTTCCCAGAAGCATCCTTTACCAAATCAAGTTTATTTAGAAATAAAGCCTAGCAACTTTAATAGTAATAATCATTCTCAAGTAGATAAGAGCAAAAATGTAAAATTTACTGGAACACAGGGGAGTGTAAATACAGTAGGCCCTCCACTTTTGTGGAGATTAGGGGTGCAGGATTGCTATGAAAATGAAAAAAAATGTGAATTTAAAACTTCTTATTTTTTATCTGAGAACACTTATCTAAGAACCTCTAGGTTCTCTAGTGTATCTGCATTGTCAACTTCTGGAGGAAGTAGACCACAGAGCCATGATGGGAGATCTAAAGATTCCTAGAGAAAACATGTTAAGCAAAGCCACTAATAATAAAATCCTTGGAAGTAAAATCTGACAATGTGGAAGGTCAACTGTACAGTCTTCTCTTGGTGATAATATCTGGAGAAGCATTTTACCTGTCTTTGCTTGGACCCTGTATCTTCTCTGGTTTTTTTGTGTTTGGTGCTCTTTTCTCAGAAGTCATTCGCTGATAAGCCTTGGTCCCAACCTGGTTTCTGAACTTCAGCAGCTCTTCAAAAGGCATGGATGACAACTCTGGTGGGAAAATAAAAGAAGGCATAGCCATTAATCTCTGATTTACCCCAAACCTCCTTTGTTCCCGCATCCACCAGGACACACAGAATGCTGAAGCCTCTTCTGCTCTTTAGACTGATAGGCAACCTGAGTGCCTTCCTTCTTCTGTAGATACAGAAACACTATAAGTCAGGGACCCGCAGGCCAGACGCGGCCCGATTTCCAAGATAATTTATCCGGCCCATATTGTAAACTTTAGACTTAGGGTCATCCTAAGTCTGAAACAACTTGAAGGCACATGACAACAACAATCCTAATAAACTTGGCTATCTCATTAGTCAAAAGCAGGTCCACACTTTCCATTGAAATACTGATAGATTAATGTTAGTTGTAGGCCCCCCGTGGTGCAGCAGGTTAAACTGCTGAGCTGCTGAACTTGCTGACCGAAACGTTGGCGGTTCGAATCCGGGAAGTGGGGTGAACTCCCGCTGTTAGGTCCACCTTCGCCAATCTAGCAGTTCGAAAACATGCAAATGTGAGTAGATCAAGAGGTACTGCTTCGTTGGGAAGGTAGCGGCACTCCATGCAGTCATGCTGGCCACATGACCTTGGAGGTGTCTATGGACAATGCCGGCTCTTTGGCTTAGAACTAGAGATGAGCACTACCCCCAGAGCTGGACACAACTAGACTTAATGTCAGGGCAAACCTTTACCTTTTACCTTATGTTGGTTAAAAGTGTGCATGTTTTCTCATGTTTTTTCTTAACTACAGTCTGCCCCCCTAACAGTCTGAGGAACTATGAACCAGCCCTCAGCTTAAAAGGTTTGAGGACTCCTGCTGTAAGCCTCTCAAGTGGTCAGCACAGAACAAAGTATTTAATATGTGGGTTCTCTCTTCTACTATAGCATCCCACCAGGAGATGTATTTGCTCCTGAGCACAAAACTGAAGCCTTACTACCACAGCTATACTGGACAGTGCTTGCTGCCAGCAAATCCATGAAGGAGTGACAAGTAGATGAAGCTAAATGGTCTGAATACAGGTTTTTCTGTGACAGCACCCTGCCTCCTAACTGCAATTGCTTTTGCCTGGAGCCAATATGACTAGCTCTTAATACTTAACTAAAAGTGCATAACTAAGTGGAATAAGAGCATTTCCACACCAGTGAAGCTTAAATCAGTTTTGGCCTGCATCATCTGTCAGTAATATAAACATTGAGACAACACTGCTCACAGCAGGAGATGAATTTCAAAACAGCTCTATCATCATTTCTTGCAATAACACATGGTACAAATAATGGGAGAGGCACTATTTAGAGAATATGCCATATTGCCAATACCTAGCTTTCTGCTAGGCTTTAGAGCTAAGATCAGGTACTGCGATACAAATCTTTCTTCCAGCTTCCCCTCCAAAGAGCTCTCACAGTTTTTGCTACTCACATTGCTCCAAAGCATTTTGCATTACAGACACTGCCCTAAGGATTAAGCAAAAGCCTCCCATGCTTCTGTATATTTTATAACTTGTGGCTAGAAATAAAACCATTTACACACAGAACCTTTGTTAAGAATTTCTAGCAGCCAGTCACAGTTTGCAAAGATGCTAAAAGGCCCATCATCATGAGCGTACACACACACACACACAATGCATTACATATTAAACAAAAACAAGTTAAACAAATCCCTGGGGTCAAGTACTTATGATCTCAGTTCTGAAAGGGCAGGAATGAAGAAAGAATTGAGGGGGGGGGGATACAGGAAACTGACCTGACCCCCTTTTGTCTTTGTAGCTCAGCAACACCTGTGCTGATTGACAGTTGCTCTCTTGGGTCCAATTCTTTTACATGGCGTGTTATTTAATTTTCCTAACAGGAGAAAGCAGGGGCTAAGTTTGAAATCTCCTGGCTTAACTTGAACTCCATGTGGCATGCCACTCAATTATGAGCCATCTCTAAAGGATGTCAGGACTGAAGAGAGAAAAATGCAGTAACTTGAGTCACTTTGGCATCCAACGAAGAGGCAAAGTTGACAAAAGTGGGCTCAAACCCATACTTGCAGATGGAGACTCTGACCTTCATGCCGAGCCATGGACCAATCAGCCCATCTAATGACGATATTATGTTCAAGTGTACTTACATATCCTTCGCTTCGTTTCCTCTCCAGCAAAGGACTAAGCCAAAGGTTTTGAAAAGGGAAATTTGGAGAAATATTTAATGGGAAATGGTTGGCCTGACATTTTTAGCTGAAAATGGCCCTTTTGTCTGCTTCGTTGTGTGTGTGTGTGTGTGTGTGTTATTTTTGCCTCAATCTATTTAACTCTTTAAATAGCCGCTTTGAGTCTAGTTTAAGAGAGGAAAGTGGGATATGAATAAATATAATTTTAATAATAATAACTGCTATTTACTTCACTGACATCCAGCCCATCTGGGATTCAAAACAAGAACATTAAAAATAGACACAGAAATAAAGCAGAAAAATATACTGTTAAAAACAACTAATGACATTAATCTCTATATATAAAAGTCAAAGTATGCATGAGTGTTGGTTGAAGGTTCCATGGATCTGGACCAAACTTGGCACACACACACTTCCTGACCCAATCTAAAAAAATTGAGGGATTTATTTACCATGTTTGTACTCCACCCTTCTCACCCCAAAGGGGACTCACGGCGGTTTTACAAATAAGTAACAATTCAATGCCATAAAAAACAACATACAACTAAAATAAACATTTCAATTAAACACACAGGAGCCCCCGGTGGCGCAGTGGGTTAAACCCTTGTGCCAGCAGGACTGAAGACCAACGGGTTGCAGGTTCGAATGCGGGGGAGAGGTGGATGAGCTCCCCTGCCAGCTCCAGCTGCCCATACGGGGACATGAGAGAAGCCTCCCACAAGGATGGTAAAATATAAAAAACTTTTGGGCGTCCTCTGGGCAACGTCCTTGCAGACGGCCAATTCTCTCACACTGGAAGCAACTTGCAGTTTCCCAAGTTGCTCCTGACACACACAAAAAATTAAAACCACAAATTAAAACATCTAAACATTACACCAATTATTGGTGTCATCCACATTGTAATCTGGGGCCATTCCAGTAGTCATTGTACATATTTGAACTAAAAGAACCATCTCTTTTGGGCTCAGAGATGAGGGAAGGAAGAGGAACCATGCAGACTGGCTGTTGCTGAAGTGGCCCTCCATCATGGGACTGGAAATGAAAGAGAGTGAAATGGGGAGAGGGAGCGAGAAAGAAAAAAGGAGGGAATTAAGTAAGAAAAGAAAGAGAAAGGAAAGAAAGAAAGAGGAAGGAAAGGAAAGAAAGGAAAGGAAAGGAAAGGAAAGGAAAGGAAAGAAAGGAAAGGAAGGAAAGGAAAGGAAAGGAAGGGAAAAGAAAGGAAGGGAAGGAAAAGGAAAAGGAAAGGAAGAGAAGAAAGAGAAAAAGGAAGGAGGAGGAAGGAAGAAGGGAAGAGAAAGAAGGGAAAAAGAAGGGGTGAAGTAAGGGAGGGAAAAGAAAGAGAAAGAAAGAAAGAAAAAGAAGGGAAGAAACAGGTAAGAAAGAAGGGGGAGGTGTATGAGAGAAAGCAAGGGAAGAAGGAAAGCTGGAAAAATAGAGGGAGAAGGTGTATGAGTGAAGAACAAAAGAAGGAGTCCCTAATAGAGAAATTGTGAGCTCAGAGCTGGAGAACGGAGAAAGCAAGTGGAGAGCAGTCACCCTGACACATGGACACTACTACTATTTTACTAAATTAAAGTGCTATTTTAAGATACATTGATGGAAAAACTACAGTACTCTTCTGCTAAAACCTCATTTCTTAGCTGCTAGCCAAATGCCAAAAGACTACTTGAATAAAAAGATTTCCCTGCCAGCAAATGAACAGCTGAACTAGCCAATTCTCTTACAGCCTGGGAGCAGTCACCAAAAATGTTACAGAAAGTTGTAGCAGGACCAAGTGTGTGTGTGTGTTGAAGAAAAACCTTATGATGGTAATTATTATGTGCAGCTGGTAATGTAGGTCAACCAGCAATCTTGGACCACATCCCGATAAGGTATAACTGTATGGGATTTTTAAAAATACAGATCTGGAGAGATCTATGCTCAAAGGCTCTGCTCTGAGGAACAGGTTGGAGAGAAGCTGTTATGATGTTCTAAAGGAGGCTATGGTGGAATAGCTGTTTGCTCAAGGTTTATGTTTTGCTTTCTCATTTGACTGAAGATGAAGATGCCTTATTTTGTGTTACTTACAAAGACTATGTAAGTTTCTTGCACTGTTTGTTTTGTGTATGCAACATTGCAAGTTTGTGTTTCATCTCTGCTATTAAGAGTAAAGATTTTTCTGTTCATTTCTACTCTTGTCTGTGTGTCTTGTGCATGGAACGGCTAAGATCCGCTTTCTGCACAACAAAAAGGCCTTCTATTACATCCCAACAAACATGACTATGAAATGATGGGACTGAGATGCCTCTCTCAAAATATCTCAGATCTGTATTTGAACTGTCAGTCAATAACCATAGTCCATTTTTCTTTAAACATTAAGAACGCTCTGCTGATACCTGTTTTCTCTCTTTCAATATGTCAAATGTATTGTCACGCATCTAAATCTTTCCTGATGGTCAAAATCTGGATTTATTATCCTTTAATCTAGACATGCTCCTGAAAGGCCAACAAAGGGTAAGAGGACAGCCTCTTGATGTAAGCACAGGCAAAACGTAGCTTTCGAACTTGGACATAAACACAGGATTTGTCATATTTGATCTAATCACTGTGCCATCAAGTTAGCTATCCTGCCCTTGGCAAGGACCAGTACCTTCTGCTGCAAAAAAATGAGGACTGGAGAGCGTCAAAGAGATGAAAAGAAAAATATTTCACAGCATGGGCCAAGTGTATTCAAATTCGTTTTGGGCACTTTAACTTGCTTGCAGATTTAGAAAAAATCTAATATGATTGAACAAATGCAATCTAAGTGCCATTTCTGAACAAAATCAATTAAATCCATCCTTTCAGATGTCTAGTTATAGTGAATTCTGCA